GGAAGACCAATCAGCCATCAGGAACCTCACAGCTGGTGCCATCGAATCTACCAGCATACAACGAAAAAGAATAAATAAAGACCAAAAACTGTTAAAAGAACTAAAAAATAAACCAATGTATTACATAAAAGCTGACAAAGGAAACGCATTAGTCATAATGGACAAAGACGAATAAGACCAGAGAGACGAAGAGAAATCGATAACGGCCCCTACAGAGAATTCAGAAACAACCTCCTATCAAAAATGGTCAACAGAACCAACAAACTCGTCGATAAATGCTCAAAATTTTTGAATTATGATAAAAAAAAAATGAAGAAACCCGCACCTTCACTTCCACGCTTCAAAGCCTTACCAAAGATTCACAAACCTGGAAAAGATATGAGAGAGATTATTACAGCAGACCAATCCTCATGCCAACGCATCGCAAACCAACCCCGCCAACATTTCTTACCTGTCACTTCCAGGAACAAAAAACCCGTACCTAAATTAATATTAAAGAATAACAATATTAAAGTAAAATAGTATAAATAGTTTGTAAGATTGCTAGATGTTTTTAATATTAGGAATTCTTTTGATGAAGGCAAAAGCAGATTTGCCGAAACACGTGTAGATTTACACAAGCACAACATTTGAAATAAAAAGTTTAAAATATCAAAAACCAAAAACGGCATTTGAAAAAAGAGAGTTTCAACAATCGCGTCTCCCGCTATTTTTATTGGAAGAAGTATTAATCAGAATAATTTGTAATATTTAAGTAAATTTAATAGTTGTAAATAAAGTAACTATAACAACCACTACATTGTTCTGGGTGATTTGAATGCACACCATTCCCTGTGGTTTTCCAACCTACCACCAACTGATCAGAGAGGGCTGCAATTGGCGTCCCAAATTGATGAATCCTCTTTTGGTGTCCTAAATGAAGGCTCCTCCACTAGGGTAACGCCAACCTGTTCCAGCTCTCCTGATGTCAGTTTCGCAAGCCCTCGGTTTCTCGCTGCCTTGAATTGGAGTGTTGATATAGCTTTAAGCTCAGATCACACTCCCATCACAACTTCTATTCCATCAATCGAGGTCCTCACTGAGGCTGACAAGGAAACCTACAGGAATTTCAAAAAAGCGAATTGGGTCCTTTTCTAAGATATTTCAGAACGCGACTTCAGCAACATGTCCCTGTCCTCTGATTTGAACAAGGCAGAGAAACAATTTCGCAGCAAAATTATCAAAGCTGCCACCCCAGCCTTACCAGCAGGTAGTATTAAAACCATTACACTAGGTTTTCCTAGTGACGCTGTCTTTTGCTGAAGAACGCGACAATCTTCGAAGATTGAACCCAACCAATCCACACATAAAAATCCTGAACAATAAGATCCGTAAAATGGTGGACGATTATCGTCTTAGTAATTGGAAGGAACATTTAGATAATTGCGACCTCCAAAATGGTAAAGTGTGGACTACCATTAAAGCACTTTCTAATCCTTCCCGTTCCAACAACAAGGCGATAACATTTAATGAGATCACTTTCCCTGATCGCAAGCATTTTTTGTCGTCTTTTCGTGCCCAATGCTTCTGCTTCTCTTGTTTCACGCAGACAGAAACGCGCTTTTCGGAAGCCACATTCTGACGACACCACGCTGTTCTCCTCAGATGATGTACTTAATACGATCAGACATGCCAAAGCCTCAAAAGCTCTTGGTCCTGATGGCATTTTCATGCTCATGCTCAAGAATCTCGGGACCTTTGGTATTTCAGTTCTGACGCATATTTTGAACTCTTCCATCAGTTCACACATCATTCCTAACATTTGGAAGACTGGTAGAATAATTCCATTGTTGAAACCAGGCAGGCCTAGGTAAATCCTATAGACCGATATTCTTGCTATCTCCAGTAGCCAAAGTTCTGGAGTCTTTAGTATTCAAGCAAATATCTCCTCATATTCACCTAGCATCTCATCAACATGGTTTTCGTAAACGTCACAGTACAATCTCAGCGCTTTGTTACATCTCAAATTGCAAATGGCTTAAATCAAAATCGCCCGTGTGAACGCACGATGCTTGTTCCCCTTGATCTCGCAAAAGCATTTGGCACAGTCTCCCATAGGACACTGTTAGATGACTTGGCCGAAACATCTATCCCTGACTCTATCAAGCGATGGCTCTGTAACTATCTTATAGGCAGATCATCCTTTGTTGACTTTAGAGATAATATGTCAAAAGCTAGGAAATTGAAACAAGATGTTCCCCAGGGCAGCGTTCTTTCATCTATCCTCTTCAATTTATACACGTCCAAACTCCCGGACCCCCCAGAGGGAGTCAGAGTCATTACCTATGCAGATGACTGCACAATTCTAGCTACGGGCCAGGACCCTTCTGTACTGTGCAACAGGTTAAATGCATATCTACCATCCTTGGCATTATTTCTGGCTGATGGAAATCTTCAGCTATCACCAAATAAATCTTCTGCCACCCTCTTTACTTCCTAGACTAAAGATGTTTCCTTGACTCTGCCAATAAATATCGGTGAAATCAGGATCGCTACCACCACCAAACCTAAAATCCTGGGTGTCATACTCGGAAGTATGCTGACTTTTTCTGCACAGGCGTCTGCTATGTGTGACCGGCTGAAATCTCGTAATAATGTGTTAAAAGCTCTCGCAGATTGTTCATGGGGCAAATATAAAGAAACCCTACTGAGTACATACAAAGTAATAGGACGTCCTATTGCGGCCTATGCAGCTCCAGTATGGACCCCACAACTCTGCGAGACGCAATGGACCAAAATCAAATCATGTCAAAACACGGCATTGTGGGTTGTAACTGGTTGCCATAGCATATCCCATGTCGACTACCTTCATGCAGAATCAAAAATGCTTCTTGTAAAAGAGCACAATCAACTTCTGTCCAAGCAACATCTACTCGCGTGCCATACAGATGGTCATCCCAATGGCGTCATGGCTAGTAGTGCCATCCCTCCTAGATGCATTCGTCGATCTCTCCTTTCTTTTAATAATTCTATCGACACCTTTTGCAACGGAGCTAACATCAGTGAGGTCGAATATAAACGTGGACTTACGGCCCTCCACACCGATGCAGTGTCCTCTTCTAGACCTAGGTTGTCCGACAACAAGGTTCCTAATAGGCCTCCGCCTGCAATCTCCTCGGATGAATGCTCTCTTCCCCGTGCAACAAGAACTGTCCTTGCTCAATTGAGATCAGGATATAGCCGAGTGCTAAACAGTTACTTGTCTCGCATAAATACGTCCATCCACAATGTGTGCCCTAACTGCAGCTCTTCTCCCCATGACGTTGCCCATATGTTTTTATGTCCTTCTGTACACACAAATCTTCGTCCAATTAACCTTTGGACTCACTCCACTGAAGTGGCCAGGTTTCTACGCCTGGATCCAGGATGATGGTTTATATGTACCTCTTCGCTACTCTTCCTCATCCTTCTCCCCCCATTCTTCTTCATTACCTACCTAACTTTTATCCTATTTACCTACGCATGTAACCGTCTTGTGTTTCCTTTCATGTTTATCTGCTTACAGGTCCCGGCGGGTTACAACAACAACAACAACAACAACACCACTACATTGGTGACGCAACACTAGCAACACTGGGTACACTAGATCAAAAAATGACCGAAGATACTACTCCAGTCAACGAAAACTCACCAGTCACTGCAATAAAGCTGCCAATGCCAACATTAATAAGGAACAACATTGATCTTTGATTTATACCGTTGGACTACTGGTTCCAAGCCAACCACATAAGGGACGACACTCAAAAGTTTGACACGGTTATCGCGGCACTGGATGCGTCGTTGTTAGAACACCTTACAAAATCTACCAGAAACTCAAAAGTACGAAGCTATCAAGCAAGCAATAATAAAAAACTATGCGGATAGTGAATATAAACGCATTAAACAATTAGTTTGTGGTTTACAGCCTGGGGATAAAAAGCCATCTCATCTATTAAACGAATTACAATGTATTAGCGGAAACAAGCAAGACGAACAGTATTTTGTTTGTTTTGACAAAACGTTTAGAATACTGATCGAAAACAAAGAACAAACAATCAGCATAGATCGTTTTAAAGCGGCTTTCATATGTCCTGATACAGACATAGACGTCCACAACAAATCAGTAGTATACCCCACTCCACACAACACAAATTGTGACCAGTCTTTACGACCAAATACAGCAGCTGACCTGACAAGATCAGGACGCAACGTTCGTTTTTTAACCAAATTCAATTACTTCGCCACTTAAGGGGGAGTACTGTGACAACACCAAAAAGATTATCATAAAACTGTCAACAAGAAAAAAGAGAAATCCAATAGTCGCGTCTCCCGTCATTATTATTGGAAAAAGTATTAATCAGAATAAGTTGTAATACTTAAATAAATTTAACAGTTGTGAATAAAGTAAATATATCAACCACTAAAAATACTTATACTAACAAATACAAAACTAACATCTTTAATATTCAGAAATAATTACGTTCATAAAAATGTCGCTACCTTGTCGCAAATGCCAAATAAGTTTTGTTCAAATTATGACAAAATAAGATTGAATGTTTACCGTATTTAAAAATAGAACGCACTAAAGCAGGAAGCATTTATGTGAAATAAATATAAATAAATATATAAAATATTATTTTATATATTTATTTTTATTTTATATATAATATTAATTCTGTAAATATATTTACAGAATTTCGGCATCTTTCAAGTGAGGCCTTTTATGACAATTTCAAATAATCACGACTTTCAAAAATTTATAAATTTATAAATTTTCATACACACTTCAGCTAATTTAGGCATAGATTGGATGTTGTATTTGCGGCACCTGCTCTTTGTTTTCGGCCATTTAACCGCATCTTCAATTTAATCCGTAACATATAAATTTTTCATTTCTAAGTTTTTGGCTCAATACATTCTTACAATCATATTCTTGTGCTAAAACTAAAGACACTTAACAAAACATAATAGTTATGACTTACCAAAACTAATTTTTAATTGATACATTTAATTTTGTTGATGCTGTTTATGTTGTTGGAAAGCATCTCCCTACATGTCCATTTAATTTTGTAGCTGCATCAGTCATTGATGTGGTTTCATTTAAATAGCTTAGTAATTATTCAATTATTATTAAGGTGGATAAAGTTGATGTTGAAATTGATGCATTTGCTGGTGATATACTAGTTGAGGTCGCGTTTATTGACATTATTATGTCGTTTGATGAAGTTAAAATTAACATATTCCAACGAAGCGATCTGAAAAGTTCCTTTTTGCCAAAAAAAAAAAAAATGCTCACTATATACAGTCAATTATAGTATTTTCCGATCACATGAAAATTAAACTTCAAATTTTTCTTATCATAGTTCTGCTGTCCTGCTGTATGGTGCGGTGCGGAAACATTGCAGCTTCGTTGATGTGACTGACGAATCATATTACCATATTATTATGTTCAGTTAGTCAAACTTACTTCATGATCACAGTTCAACTGAAATAAATAAAGATGAATTAATGTCACAGAAATGCTGATAATTATTATTTACCGCTTTTGATTTTTATAAAAGTTACCCACATGTAAAGTGCCAAAAACAACAAGTGTGCAGTGTGCAGAGTGCAGTGTCCGCATGTGTTTTCAATTTTCCAAAATAGCAAACTAGAAAATTATATCAACTAAATAAGAAATTATACTCGCAATCAGCATTAAAAATAAAACTTTTAATCACATTGCTATAAAATTGTATCATTCTAGAATATTTGAAATACATTCGGTAGAAACACGGCCTATAAAACTCAATACTTTATACCGTTCAATTTAGTTTTCAAAACACAAACCGTTATTCTAAGTCTACATCCCGTTTGATGCGTTGATACACATTTTGTGCTACACACGGTTTTCAAACTTAGTCGTTTGCATGTGAAGCGGATCAATTGCTTTGAATTTGTTTCGTGATAAGCAATAGTGCAGACCATAGAACATTTTGTGAGGAAGGAAACTTTATGGAGAAGCAAAGAATTTTTGACAAGATTACTAATTTATGTATGAATCTTTGTGGTTGTCACGTTCATTTTTTACATATTATTCTTGGTTGACAACTAGATGCGTCATGGTGTGAAATTACATAAATATATCCTTCTTATGTGCAATAACAAAATATGCACATAATCATGTGACTAATGAAATTCAGAATATTGTAATTTTGCATTGGTTCTGCTTATATATTTTCATACATTTTGTATTTATTCAAATTTTTTTTTAGTTTAAACCGAATGCATAAATATTAAGAATAATATATACAAAAACATTTATCATCCACCAATTTGAAAGAAATATAAACTGAAATTGATATAAATTATATTAAATTGAAAAAAAAAATATTTCTATTTTAATCATTAATAGGTGCTTTCGGCAACTTAAAGTGTGGCAAAAAACCGTAAGTTGATTAGTATAGGCATTAAGCGAGATATTGACATCACTGTACAAGCAATTACATTTTGTATAATAATAAATAATTAAGCAAGGATTAAAAATTAAAATGAATAATGAACAAAAAGCAATGTTCTGAATGCAGGAAATTTTGAAATTTCTTTTTACAACAAAATTATTAATAGTGTAGAACAGGGCTGTCCAGACCAATACAAATCACTAAATAGTTAGGAGGGTCGTAGAAATAAATACATACGTTTATAATTTTTCTGGAGAAAAATAAAAATACGGCCATAATGTTAAATTTAGTTTCATTAATTCTCTAATAATTTATCTTGTATAATTCTATTAATATCAGCATTATTAATATTAGTTGTTGCCATAACAAAAATTTCTTATTTTTAATGTAATGACTTACGGCTCTGGATACGAGTTACTTGAATCTGTTGTGCAAAGATATATATGTTAAAGTCTTTGTTAATTAAGTGAATTGACCTGAATAAAATAATGTCATTTTACCTAAATATAACAAAGAAATATTTTCCTAATTGTAGTGGATCAGAAATCTGTCGCGGGGCGCACAAATATTAGCCTGGTTTAGAATATTTATGCCTAAATATAAGTATGGACTTGATAGCAACTAATAAGTTAAAAATTTTAAACCACTTTTCAATTATACTTTCTTTACGTACTCCTAAAAATGTTTAGATATATTTATATGTATATTTAGTCATTATAGTAGACTATTTTATTTGGGAACACAAAAATATAAACAACATAAAAACTTTTTTCTTAACCAAATCAAAAACATCAAAAAGTGCTTCGTGTTTAGTGTTGCCAGGCGTATTGTTTTACGTCAAAAGTGACAATCAGATATTTTCTACGGGTTGCCATGTTGGTTGTAATGTTACCATAGCACCCCCTTTCCAGTATTGTACTTTGTGAAAACCTCACCTGGTTTTTCTCCTATCATTTTTGTCAAAGCTTTGAAAAATGCTGATTCGAATTGTAGGCCCCGATCTGTTGTTATAGTTTGCGGGTATTCAAATCTCGCCACCCAGTTTGACCAAAAGGCAGATACAATGGTGTTTGTAGTAATATCTTTTAAAGGTATAGCTTCAGGCCACCTTGAAAAGCGATCAATCATTGTTAAACAATAGAGGTACGCTTTATCCATTGGCATCACAATCATGGCGATATGTACATGGCCGAAACGGTTGTCTGGGATGTCGATTTTAATTGGTCTCTTGGTCGAAAAGTGTTTTTGACGTATTTTTGCTTTATCTGCTGCAGAGTGGATCTTACACTGGGGTGCGACATACCTTGAATTGATGCGAAGACTTTATGACACAAAGATACTGGCACGAATAAGGAATTTATGTTGTTGAAAGCAATTGTAGCTTTAAAAATGTTTCTCCGTGCAACAGTATTTTTAATTCTTGGTCGTCTTGTTGTTCCCCTGCAACGGTTGATAAATTGACAGCAGTTGGCAGCTGAAATACGAGAAAAAACATCTGCCACACATTGTCATTTCTAGATAGGTTTATGATGGTTGTTGAAAACTGTGAAACGTAATCAAGATAGCGGAGTTGCCGTGGTGACGCTTTCTCTGGTTTCTGTTTGAAAGCATATACCAGCGGTTTGTGGCCCATTTAAATGACGCAACTCTGTGTTTAAAGTTATTAAACGCATCGAGGCTTTCGGTGATTTTACGTTTATCATTCTTTTTTATATTTCGTACCAGATCGCTAAACTGTGCTTGATATTGCGATTAGTGTGGTATACAACGCCGATAGTAATTCAGAACACCTAGAAAACATGCTAGCTCACTGACTGTGTCAGGTTGTTTGTAATTCACTATTGCTTCAATACGTTCCTGTGGTGGTTTAATGTCATTCTTGCTGACCGTGTTGCCCAGAAAGAGAATTTCCGATTTACCAAATTGGCATTTGTTGGCATTTATTCTGAGTATATGTTGGCGCCAAATGGTAAATACTATTCGGAGATGACGTTCATGCTCCTCTATGGACGTTAAAGCTATGAGAATGTCGTCAATATAGCAACACACGAAATCAAATTTGGTACATGAAACGTTGGAATGTCTGCGTCGCGTTTTTCAACCCAAACGGCATGTACTGGAACTCAATCAAACCAAAAGGTGTGCTGACGGTAGTTTTCTGGATGTCGCCCTTTGCCATTGGTATCTGATAATATGCTTTCACCCAGTAGAGTGCTGAAAACAATGTTTTGTTGTGCAACTTTTCCGCAATATCATGCACGTAAACGATATGATACCTGTTCGTTATCGTTATTGTGTTCAACTTTCGATAGTCGCCACAAGCACATCATTCTCCATTATTTTTCGCCACCATGTGTAGAGAACTTGTCCACGGACTTTTTGACAAACGGCAAATACCTTGATTCAGTAATAAAGTAATTTCGGCTTTCGCCACAGCAAGTTTCTGTCCAGATAACCTTCTGGGACGATCAAGAACAATGTTGCCTCTTGTCTCAATCTGATGAGACACCACATGCTTTCGAGCGTTGAGAAGTGGCTGTTTCAACACTGGTCGTGTAATATTAACGAATTCTTTGAGCAGATTGCTGAACTTGGCTGTCTCGTCTGTTGTAGATATGGTTGATGACCGAGAAGCTGAAAGTTCACCTCAAGTGCAAAGCTTCGTCGTCATTTCTATAAGTTATTTGCTTCTCAGGTCAACTAATAAATGAAAATGGTTGAAGAAACCAGCGCCAATAATAGCAACTTCCACATGTGCAAAAATAAATTGCCACTTAAATGATCGTCGTAAACATAAGTCTAATTCCATTGTGTAGTTGCCAAAAGTGGTAATGAGAGTTTGGTTCTCTGCGTATAGTGCTCTCCTTGTGTTGTTTTGCATATCACTAAATACCGTGGTACTACTGATACAACTGAGCCCGAGTCAACCAAAAACCGAAAACATGATCGGCGATCGACGACAAAAAGACGTTCACTATTTATGAGTGGTTGTATTTCTGCAACAGATGAATCACTGCTTATGTGGTCAAGTTTTTTGTTACTGCCGTCAACTAGTGTGCTTGACGAGAACTTTTTTAGTTTAAAGGTGTATATCGTGAGCAGTATGGCTTGCACTTGGTGGCCCTGTCCCCAAGCTTGGTGTGGTAGTAACACAAATTATCATGACGTCGCTGTTGACTGTTGACATCGCTTGACGTTTTGGGCGATCCCGATCGAAGCCGTTGCGACTCGTGGTTGTTTTTGTGAGTTTTTTAACTTTAACCTGCAGATTTTTAACTCGGTCAGTAAGTTGTTGAATAGCCGTGTACAAAGCATTGTGTGTCATGCTGCACACAGTTGCAGCGGCTTGCATAGGCTGTGGCGATACCTCACACATATACATTGCGTTTGTTATTGACGCCTCCAGCATTTTATTAGCTTATTTTGCCAATTTGTTCCGATTATCCTCCTTCCAAATTGCCAATACCGGACGAATCGATTTGGGCATTTCGCTGAGCAAAAGCGTGCGAATGATTTGTTCGCTATTGGGATCCGGTGCCAGACGTCTCATGTGCGAAAGTATTTCCGACGGCTTCATACCCGTTGTGTCTCCACCTTGCAGTAGGCGACGCAACTTAGATTTGGCTGATTCTGCAAATTTTCCCAACAAATATGTCTTAAGTGTTTCATGTTTGTTATTTGTTGGAGGAATCGTAATTAAATCTTCAGCCACCATCATGATATCTTCATTCAAATTTACTGCAACCCAATCGAATTTGTTTACATCGTCTCGAATATTGTTTAGACAAAAACTCGTTCCAATTGTGCAAACCATACCGTTGGATTGATTTTGTTAAAGTTTGGCACTCTCACATTGTGTTTCAGGTTTATTTATGTGGTGTCTACTTGTGTATTTGTAGTATGTTCCGCGTTCAACGGTATGTTGTTATGTATTTGTCTAGAACGTAGTTTACGCGTGTATTCTTGCATAAGATGCACTAATTTGTAGAGCATTCAAACTACTTTCTTAACCAAATCAAAAAGAGCTTCGTGTTTAGCGTTGCCACGTTGATATTTTCTACGGGTTGCCATGTTGCTTGTACTGTTGCCACATATATATTTAATATATTAATTTTCCATAGTTTTGGATGTTTTCAAGATATTTCATATCTACAATTTTCGACGTTGTGAATCTTTGATTTCGCTTGAATTTTTTTTTGCAATCTTCCGA